TTTTTTTTTTTTAAAAAGGAGAACACTAAGGTCGAATAGCTTAGAACTTTGTTTTACATCTTCTCTTTGAACAAGATAGAAATTTAGGAGTAGCATGGCCTTAAAAACCCAACAGTGAGATCTTAAGGGATCTTTAAGAGATCCAGCCTACGGCTCTTCAATGGGGTGTCACAGGGTCCCCGGGAAAAAGAATTGTAAATGTAAAATAATAAAATAAATATTCTTCTGTAGCAATAACAAAGTATAACATAAATTATTCTGTAGCAATTACACAAGAATATCCAGTAATGTCCCTGCCTACAATTAAACACATTCACTTACCGAAAATCGGGGCATCTGCTGTGGCAAATGGGTGCAAGCCTTTTACCACAAACTTAGTCACTGCTCGGTGACATTCGTCTATCCTGGCCTGAAAGGAGACGCTACCGGTAGACTGCAGCGACAACTGCCGGCGAGCGCCAGCCAGACTCTGTCTGTCTCTCTCATCATGGTCACCTAAATGCACAGTAATGGCAGGTTTTGTAATAAGGCAGATCATGCTAACATATGCACTGTTAGTTAGTTATTTACCTGCCGCATTAACGGGAGAGGACGTACAAACGTTACCGCTGCTGCTGGGTTGACATTCACGACTCCGGTGCGGAATTAAAAACACGACATTCATTTAAGGTTATCGTGTGTTTTGTGAGCAAATGCTTTTGCATATTCGTAGTGTTTCCTCCCTTAAATGAAATATCTACTTTGCAAGTATTGCAAGTTGCCCTGTTGTCATCCATTCTCGTAAAGTATAACCAAACTTTTGAGCGTCTGAGCTGCTTAGGTGCCGTGTGTCCTGCCAGGTAAATGACGCTCTGCAACGTGGTGACGTCATTCGGGGCGACTGGAATCGATAAGGGAAACGTTTGCAAAAATTCTCAACAAGAACCGGGTTTCGATACCCATCCCTAGTGGCAGCCCTAATATGTTATATGTTTCAAATTGCAGTATCAAAATGATGTGACAATGTGAAAGTGGTCATTTGCAGTGACAGATCTGCGGTGAATAGTCGCCTGAATCTGCGGCTCACCCTCATTTTCTACACCTTATAAAGAATTTCTAGTCACTGTTTAGCTGACCGACCCACAGTTGTACCACTTTGGTTCTCTCTGACAGCTTATGTTTTCTTAAATTGCAACAGGGAAAGGTCACAATGAAAAAAGCTCTAGTAAACCCACTCTATAGCCTTCCACTACTCGCTACCAAACTTGAGTGTTGAGTGTTGAGTTGTAGTGTTCTAGCGTAACAATAATATCTAGTTTGTAAAGTTGTTTTAAAAGACAGCAACTCTTGTTTCATATAAAAGATTTAAAGTTCAAAACCAGTGACAAACAGGGACAGAGAAATTCATAAATTTTTGAAAACCAGAAAATATAATTAACTAGCCATGATCCAACAGCCCTATTATTACAACAGCTCTTGGCGGCCTATGTAAGGTGGATGCGAACCATCTGCTGAAGGGACAGACATTTCTCCCTACATGGATGTTTGGCTAGCATGCACAAAACCATTTTACATGTAAATATACCTGCATGAATATGCATAGTCCATATTTGTGTACAGGATGATTTAGGTATGCTGTCAGCAAACACTGCTACCCATACCTGAAAGCGTGCAAAAGGACATGCAGTCAGTCTCACAAAGACACCCACATATCTGTCTTGGGGAGATCAAGGACTAAAGATGAAATGAGGTAAAATCTATTGAAGTCAGGCCTTGTGCCAGCCAGTAAATAGTACCAGCCGGTAAGTGCGAGAGATTTCCAGCCAGGGTTCATCCAAGTCCAGTGCCAAGTGGTAAGGGAATAGCAGTGGCACGCGCAGTTCCATTTTAAACATAGTGATTTTTATCTGGAGATTGAATCTGGCTGCAGCATCTCCCCCAGCGGCAGTGTACTCGTCCAGAATAATGGATATAGTTTCATGGAAGCCTAAAAAAAACCCGCACCATGCTCAATTACTCAAGCCCTCTTTATGTGATATGACGGCATCAGACACCGCTCTCTAGAAAGGTGTCCATGTTTCAGATGATATATTTAAATTTCCTCGTCCAGATGTGATTGACCTCGCTCGTCGTGCGGCTGTTGTATTTCTTTTGATTTTACACGTACAAAGCTGCTGAATGAGGGTTTTGCTGGTGAGTCTCTACAACGTCCTGTTGTGATTTAATTAGCCCCGCCTGAATGGATGCATAATGTTGGGGCAGACTTTGTTGAATTTTTATGTTGAGTAGTTGACTTGAATAAATAGATGTTTTTGTTTATCGCGCTGCAAGTTTAACTTGCAGCAGTAGACAGAGCTTCAAAAAAAATGCTAACCCTAACCCTTATGTCAGATCTTTTTCAGCTGTGTGTAGACTCCTATGTCCCCGTTAGATTGTGCAAATGACCGACTGCCTATTACAGGTTGAAGTAGAAGTGATAATGAAGTTAAACAGATGAGCATATTTGTCCACTGGCTTGTTTCCTGCACGAGTGACAGAATTGCAGCTTAGTCTCAAACACATACTTAATCACTTCTGACTGTAGAAAATCCTCATATTGCATAAGCTCACAGATTGCCATGATTCATGCTCGGTATGCCCACGCTATGGAATTCACTGTTGGCTTTTTCGAAGGTGTCAACAAGTAAACAGTGTCGTGCAGAGTTTGTTTTTAAACAGTGGATTCTTGTTTTGCAATAGCCTCCCAAGACCAATTAAAGTGTCTCAGTCTGGAAGTGTGAAGCAAAGCCAGGCCAGAGTGCATCTCTGGAGCAAAATGAGCTGCTCTTGAGGTTTCGCTACATTTAAAAGTTTACTTAACTTTCCACAATGAAATCGTAAATTACTGCCAGTTTATCTAATGGTGTGTTTCTATTACTTTAACGCTTTTGTCTTTTTTATTAATTTATAACTTTTACTCTTTGGGCCAAAAACACATCTGTGAGAATCGGAGAACAAATATTTTCTCCAGTCCTTTCTATCAGATTTAGCTATGGGAGGTGTGGTGAAAGACTGAGGATAGTAGTGTGGTAGATGAAGGTTGACTGTCAAATTGAGCATTTATTCCATGAAAAGAACAAGTAACAGGCAGTCCAGAAATGGTAAACAAAATCCACAAGGCACAAGAAAGCACAGGGGAAAACAATAGGGACAGGAGGGCTGGTAGGACGATTTGACAAAGGGCCAGGGGAGACGGGGACAATGAAAGCACAAAGTAATGAAGAAAGAGGAAACGGGAGGGGAACACAGCTGAAACTAATCTCAGAAAACCAGACAGAGCAAGTATATAAATACCAACCACAGTAGCCATGTGTTACCAAAATAAAACAGGAAGTAGCCAAACACTGGGACTTGGCACAAAAAGGCAGAACACAAGGGAATAATATATAGAACTAGGGAGCAAGAAGACAGCAAGGAAAAAAAAGATACATGAATATAAACCCAAAGAAAACCAAGAATCAAAGATTAACATAAGGAAAACTAAAAAGCCCCCAAAAAAAACAAAATCACTGGGTAAAAGCCCCAGGACCGACCCAGGACCATAACAAATTACATGGATTAGCAGCTTTGCAGCTTGACTAATATATTTAGCAAGCAGAGGTATCACTCAGTGTGACTATTGTATGCAGCATTAACGTGTCACATCAAGATGGATGAAAAATAGAGAATTCTGAAACTTGACAAAAGGTTGTTTCAACTGTGAAATGTATGCAACATTTAATGAAATGAATGTGTAATTTGTAAAAGTGCAAGAACCATTTAAGAATATGTTAAGCTATTATGTCACAGACATTACGTGATTAAAACATTTCCAATTATAAGCTCCTGTCACTTTCCTGCATATCAAACTGTGCAGTTTTATAGTGTAATATAATATATGGTCCCAACCTTTGTCTACCTACGCTAAGTCTAAAGCTTTCAGTCCTTTATTGCAGTCATATTTTCCAATTTCGCTTGACCAGTTGCATTTTCTCACAGGACCGAAATGAGTTTTGAAATTAGGCTTGTTCTCAAGGCGATGCTGTTCTTCTTGATGAATAACGAAGAAGAAGAAAAACAACCCACCGGATAACAAAGATGTTGAGAAGAAATTATTTTCTGTGCAGTATAGGCAGCATGAAACAATCTCTGCTTAGTTATCGCACAGCTCTTCAAACCTTCAAGGAGCTTTTGAGTGGTGCCAACAGGATATGACATTCTCACGGTGTTGCTATGGATGTTATGGGCATTGACCTTTATTTTTTTCATTTTTAGACAAAACAATTGCACAAACTCATATCCTACTTTCGTGCATGTATAGGAGATGACTGATTTCCATACCAAGTAGTCTGCACATGATGTGCTTTAGCAGAAGAAGCTATACCTGTGGTAGCGAGTATATACAGTAAGTGTGATGACTCCGCTCTGTGACTGCTGAGAGATGCAGTACAGAATTCATTGTCTCTAATGTGTCACTCAGTATAAAAAGCAACAAAGCAGTCACTTTGGCACCGTTCTCCAAGTGTCTTTCAGATGGTAGATATCACCTGTAAAATGCTGATAACTTTGAACTTGTGACTGTACTTTCTTGATAGCTAAAGTGATATTTTTTTTCTCTTTCTCCATCAGCCACTTTAGTGTTTATTGCAAAGGGAGACTATTGTTTTTTCCCCTTGTTTTCCATGTCTCCTCTTGTCACTTTCATTGTATCTGCCATCGGCTGATGGATATCAAAAATAGTGATTATCATTGACCTGCATGGGGGTAAACCCTTGTCCTTGACAAAAAGTATCAGTCTCTTCTTTGTGAGAACACTGTGAACTACTCTGCTGAATGTCCTCTTAGACTGACAGCTATGTTTATTGTCCCATGCTGCAGAGAAACACACAAATGGTTGGTAACCTTCAACATCAGAGGACTGATAAAGAAATTACTTTGTTGGTTGTATTAAACAAAACAGAAGGTCTGTGATTCTTTTCACTTACCATTTTCTTCATATCTTTAGTCAGCTGGTTTGAATACACTGCTTAATTTTTAGACAAGGTATCGACAGTAATGTTGAAATATATGCCGTGACTTAAGTTGACTCGTTCTTTGCTACTGGTGACAGCAGAACAATCGTTCCCAGGAGAGAAAACATAGAGGGATACAGGGATAAAATATAAACCACTTTACACTTCTCCCTGATGATAAGGTGTCATAACACTTTATCACAACAGCACAATATCCTACAGGTTATTGCAGGTTTCTGTATTAGTCAGCAGAACTTTATTTCAATAGAAAGGGACTGCTTCTCATTGTAAGCCAGAATTACTGCATAGAATAGTCCCGGTTGAATACTGGGGCCACTGGCACTCGTCTCGAAACGGTACTTGGACATATCGTCACGATTTGGTGGTGGTTGTTGTTTGAGTTATAATAAGCTTTATCGCACTCCTTGACAATTTCAGCACATCATACTCAGAGCGTCAATTCATCTGAGAGCTCAGAGGGTTGATAAATAAATGACTGGAGGCATTGGCAGCAACAGGGCATGCTCAGAATAGCATTCACAATTGAAAGATTTGATTTGTATGGCCTGTGAGAGATTAAATTACACATCAGGGTTAAACTGTTTACTTCTGTGTATCGCATGAGATAAGTCTATGGCTCCATGCTACGGTCCACTGAGTTTGATGATTAGCATGTCGTGTGTATAAGAATGGCATAAAATAGAGTAGATTTACATTATCATGGCTCACTATGTTACGGGTGCCTCATCTTTCCTTTGTATCAATAGAATTTCATCAGCTGAAGGGATTTTTCCATTTGCTCATTTAACATCCATCTATTAATGATCAGTTAGGAGTTTTAAAAGTGTGAGAGCCGGATATTTTTGCTGCTGTGACCCATATTGGTCCACTTTTGATTTTTAGGTGCATACGTGACTTCAGTTAGCCCGAACTCAGTTTTTGCATATGCTTTCCTTTTTTCTAGTTCCCTGTGGTGGAGTCTTAACTGAACGCAAGGGTACTATCCTCTCTCCCGGATATCCAGATCCATATGCCAACTATTTGAACTGTGCCTGGAAAATCTCTGTTCCTGAGGGAGCCGGCATCCAGGTGAGAAGACAGATGCAGATCTTAGCAGAGTCATGTTTGATGAAAGATTAAGAGATTCTTTTTTGAGGGGTGGATTTATTACTGATACATACAAGTTAGCCATTTCCCAACTCGTGCTTTTTTCCTTTTTTTTCCTTTGGAAATTTGTTAAGGTTTCATACTTATTAAACTTTTTGTATTACGTTATGTTTCCCTTTCAGATTCAGGTCGTGACCTTTGCCACAGAACACAACTGGGATTCGCTGGATTTTTTTGATGGCGTTGATGGTAACGCCCCAAGGCTTGGTAGCTACTCAGGTAAATGTTATACATCTAAATTTTAGTTGTCAGCTCCCACTTGATTTTCAATCAGGTGTCACAAGATCCCAGCAAGAGACAGATGCGGTGATCGAGCTGATGACATTTGAGAATGCTGTCAAAAAAACGATAAAAAAGGAGAAAAAAAGAACCGCTTGCTCTGTCACAGCGTCCTGGCCTTTGCAGTTGAGAGCTTTATAATGTAACCCCTGTTTCATTTTACATTCGTAGTGTTGCCTTCGGGTTTACATTATTAGAAACGGTGTGTTTGTCACTCAGTAACCTATAAGAAACAGGTCATCACGTCACTTCAGATGCTCAATTCTGGAATACGAGCGGCTGGTTTAACATAATGACTTCAGCCTTGATACGGAGATCTCCTTTAGGAAAAAGACACTCTCTGAAAAGTGAAACAGCCCCACAGTGCAGAACTAACTGCAGTGTGAAAAGGGTCAGGCATTTTAAATGGCTAGCAATCATGTTTAGGTTTGGCTAAATTGATAAAGATGATTATAATCACAAGCCAAAGTCTCACCGCAAATTCCCAAAGACACGGGGAACAGAGAAAATGTTCCCTGAGCTCAGCGTAGCTGCACATACAGATTATTTTGCAGTGAATTTGAATTGTAGACCATTCCTCTTCCTCGATGTGATTTTATGCATCTGACTTCTGTGACTAAAGAGCTAGAGGAGATGTACTGAGCATGATTTTCTTAAACTGTGTAACAGAAAGCAGTGCAGAGTTAAATACTTTGCACACGTTCACATGCTTTTGGTAGGCTTAAATCCAGAAAGTGAAGTACACAGGCTCTTTTGTATATTTTATGATTCAGGTACAACAATTCCCCAACTGCTGAACAGCACATCCAACAACCTGTACCTGACCTTCCAGTCTGACATCAGTGTATCTGCCGCCGGCTTCCACTTGGAGTACACAGGTATGAGGAGAGACGGCTCGTCTGCCTGCCTGTCACTTTGTCTGTTGTCTTTCTGTGTCCATCTGCCACTGACTTCCAGCTGCTGCACAAGGGTATAAGGAATAAGAGGGACAGCTGGTGTGGATGGCACAGTTGGAGCTATAAAAAATGGTGTGAAATGGAGAGTAAGTGAGTGGGCAAAGCTTTTTCTTCCTCATTATCTTTTCTAATTTTCAGGCTTTGTATCCGCTTTTCTGGTATGGTAGTTTGGTATTCCCGAGTGGCTTCTTTTTTAAATTCCCCCCATAGCTTCAACTTACTGGACCCACATCCTTTTTTTTTCATTCATTTAAGGACTAAGTTTCCTTATCTCTCAGTGGACTGTTCACTTCCAGGCATATTTGCTAAAGAGCATGCTAAACATTTACTGTGCATCAGAATTGAAGGAGTGTAGCGTGCCCCAATGGAGTGCCTGATTTACTCCCATTTAAAAATTGCACATCTCAAAGAAAAAGCTCTGTCCTTGATCCATGCAGCTTTTCTTTAATTCACTTACACTGCAGGCACCGTTCTTTGTCTCTTCTAATGTCCTTTTCTCTTAGTTAAATTTTAAGCTGGCGTGTATTCTCTTGTTTGCTCTTCACGTTTGTCTTCCTGCTGGTTTTTTACTAACCACTCATTGGCTGATACGAGACTGTGGGCAGACCCACTCATTGTCTGTGATGCACATTTGTGGCAGTGTGGAAAGACCGGGAAGACTTCCTAATGCTTCCTAATGATTGATTAAAATAGGACGATATGGAAATGTCAAAAACAGAAACGACGGCCAACGCTTTAACACATCCAGCCTTGAATTTTTTTACACATACATAACAGCTAAAGAGTCACACTTTTTTTTGAGTGAGCTCAGTTCAAACTGTCACTTTCTGCAAATTTGTTGGAAAACAAGAAAAATCACTGCTGTCACCGTGTGTGTCCTTGCTGTCAGTTGTGTCAGTCTGTGAGCGTCATGCCACTGTTGAGAACGACTTCACAGTCATGTATCTCACAGTAGGTGCTTCGTTCTTCTTGTTTGGAGCCACTCTGTACTCATGTCTCTCAGTGCGCTCTTTCCTTTCTGCACTTCCACGCCATGTCACACCACCCCCACTACCTCTACCTACCGCTGAGAATCACAATCAGCTCTTTGCTCTGTGTCTGTTGCCACTGCTGCCCTTGTAAAGTATACTCCCTGATTCTTTGTGCAAACAACGCTTCAGTTTATCTCCTCTCTGCTTTCTTCTCTTGCTATTTGTTACTTTTCCTGCTACTTTTCCTATCTGCAAAAAAAAAGAAAAAGAAAAAAAATGGGATGTGCGATTAATCCATGTAGCTTCCCTATGGAGCCACTCGTGAAGTATTGCAGTTTTTTCACTTTCTGATATTTTATCCTACATATAGCAGATTTCAGAGTCTAATTTATTTGGTCACATTAGCTATTACATTAATCCTCTTCTGACCTGTAGTTAGATGCATCTACACTGGTTGGCTTGAAATAGTCATTTATATTTCACGCACTTGAGTTTCTGGTTCCCAATTAATGCTCTGAAAGCTCAGTGGAGGGGGTAGAAAACAGCAACAGCGATTGGTACACACCCAGCCAACTAACCATCTGTTTTAAAATGTTTCCTTTGGGTGATTGTTGCAGTCCACTGAGACCAGTCATAGAAATTCTTTATACCACCCGCCAGTACAACATCTTAAAAGAAAAACGTTTAAGCAGCTCTCCTAAGGCCAACAGAATGCTATAGCTGAAAACATAATTGCAGTGTTTGCACATGCTGTATAGCAGCTTGCATCCCAAATCAAGTCTACCAAAGTTTGGCTTATTGTCACTGCTACGTGGAATAACTGTGACACCACACTGAATCAATTGTTTGACAGCTCAGAAAGGCACTCTTTCTTTGACATGGTCTTAAGATCTTTCCAGACTTTCTTCAGTCACACCAAGAAAATATAGCAGTGTCAAGTCTATGGTTACTACCTGTAATCTCCCCGATAAGTACTTCCACATTTTTCCTTATGAATTACATCTATCACGGCTAAGCCCTGCAGCATTGTTAAAGATTAAGAGCAGAAATGACCAGGTTACTACTCATTCACATTTTCTTACTACACTATTTTTCAGTACTATGCTGTATGATGACCTAGAAAAAGTGACACTACTAGTGTATGTAAAATGCACATCTGTTAGCATTTGCTACTAAACTATAAGCTTACTATTTGCATTCTGGTTCAAGGTCACTTGTATTAATAGCATCATCTGCGCATACACAGATTACATCTATTCACATATAGACTTGGCTTTAGATTTTTTTATCAAGTCAGTCCTGGCATGCAGCACAGCTGTGTACTAGTTTTAATGTGTCTTATTTGATCTAACCCAACATCGTATAGAGTACAATTCAAAAATTTGAGTCTGTCCAAACTTTTGACTGGTGCTGTAACTCTGTAAGAAAATATTGCAAGAACACAGTCTTACATATTTTTGCTCACAATAAACAGGTAACTATATCTTGTTGCATAACAGGTGTCATTGTGACGCATGTATAATCTCAAGAGATCTGTTGATTGTTCATTTAACGCACTCACTTCCTCTGCACATAGTGTGTTAATACTAAATACATTCATGCACTGTGTCATTTTGATACTTTAATGTCTTGATTAAGTTAATTGTGCAAAGCAATTACAGTGGCTGGTTTATTATATTGATAAAAGTCGTCATATTTAAAAATTAGTGGCAGGATTAGGGATGGAAATCTGATGAATGACATAAAAATGTCACAGTGTCGTAATTGATATTGTGCCTCACACTTTGTTAATGTCTGTTTATAAAAAAGAAAAACTGAGACGATCTACCTTAAGTTGTTTTACTGCTCTCCCACCCACAGGTGGAAACCACCACCTGCCACACTTTATCTCCTCCGCATCTTAAACTTGGAGTCGCCTGAGCTGTGAGCAGTGTGTATCCGCAGTATATTGCCTCGTAAAAATGAGCCGTTGCATTTGCATATATACCTTTGCAAAGAAACTTTTTTCTCCACAGTAGGCTCTTCTATATTGTCTGACCTGCATGTTTTCCTGCCTCATCTTTCAGGTAGCTTTTATTGTCCTTGCATTTTTTATTTTCTTTTTTTTTGTCTCGAACCTCCTCCTACTGTTTGGAATACTAAACAGCTGTGTTGTTTTGCAGGTCGAGTTTAATTTTTAAAAAATAAATATTGAACTGATCGAATTTATGTAAAAGCACAAGAGCAGAAACTCTCGGCTAGTGTGCACCACTGGTTAGTAACTGATGACACACATGATTGAAATTGCTTTGCCTGGATGCATTCGGCAGGGTCTTGTGTTTGATAAGGATAGCACTGCTTCAAGACATGGGTGCACACGCAGAAACAGGTGGCCGTTCCAAAATGTGATTCCTGACGGCTTGAGCGGAAAACATCACAAGGTGGCAGGAACCTGGACCGTAGTGTTAGCAGACGCACACGTTTAACCTGACCTAAGATCTGGTGCTCCACCTCTGGCTTTGGGAACTGTTCTCTGATTTTTCAGGGTCATTTTTCCTGAACCTGGGCATTTTGTATTATTACAGGGTTTGACAACCTTTTAATATTTTCATTGTTTGAAGTGAACAGTGCAAATTTCACAAAAAACTGCAAGAGACAGGCCGATTATTCCTTATCACGAGTACACATGACAATTTTAGAGCTGCATTGTGCTTTAATCTCAAAATTACCTTCTGGCAGCCTGATTTTTTAGCAGCAACTGCTCCGCTCTTGTGAATTGTGTCATCAAATCTCCTTGAAATTAATTAAACATTTCTAAGTCGAAGAATTTGTCAAAGTATTGCTCTTATTTATACCCACATATGACAGAACTTCACAGCTTCAAAGCATCCACCCACTCACCCTGTACAGTAGCTCGTCTCTTGTTGAATTGTTCTATCTCCAGCTGCTTTCACGTTGCTTCCTGCTCTGCGTCTCTTGGGTTACCGTCTCCTCCCACTCAAATATCCTCTCTAACTTTCAGTAGATGTTGAGTGGAGTGACCACTCCTGCTAGTCGCCTTTAAATAGTTCTGAATCTTTTGTGGGCACTTCCCCTACCATGTTTGTGTTCATCCACCCACTGACTTGTTTGGACAAGTTAACTCTTTGAGTGGGCTTGAATGCGAGTGCTTGTGAAATGCTTGTGTTTGCCTGCAACATTGTTGGGGATGCTGTATTTGTCTAAACTATTCCGCTCCCTGTGGCCTGCTTACAAATTATAGATTACGAAGGAAACCTAATAAAACCATCTAGATTTGTATTTGGGTTATTATGAAGGTAACTATCTCCTGTTTTTCGTCGGCCTATTTTTGTGTTGTTTGATGCATCGAAAAACAATGTTTGACAGACGACTGGTGCGATTTGAAAAATGTTTAAGAGGAGGATGTCTCCAGTGCTGCCTTTCATTGAATAACAGCATTTTATGCCTCAAAGTAATGATGTAAAATGTTTTCTCCTCTGCCTGTCAATATATTTTAGTCACTTCTTAGATAAATGAAATTGCAACCTGACTATATTTCTTGTCTTTTTTTCTTTCTTTTATTTGTAAAAAGCAGGCTTTGAGCAGGCTCAAATTTCCTTAAAATGTCCTACATTAATATAGTCCATATAGCTGGCATCACCATTGCTTTTAAGCCATTAAAACACAATATCTAGCCTTTCAAGCCTTTCACTACCTGGCAAGTGGCACTGTAATCATTTCTTTCCAATGGGCTCAATGCGTCTGTCAAGTAATACTTCAGGGATTGCTTTGTAATTTCACAGTGATTGCTTCAGATCACAGTCAGAAGGATTTTGCGATTACAGCCACGAGTAGAATAGCTTCATAGCTTGCCCCACTTTCTAAACGTTATGATGAAGGGAAAGAGAGACAAAGAGTCGGCGTGGTGGTGGTGGTGGTGGGGGGGGGTTGCTCAATTAATATGCGATTACAAGCACATTAAAATGAGGAATTTTATAATTATGTCAAAAAGGTTGGTTTTAATTAAATTATTCCTTCCCTCTATAGGTACTGGTTGATTAAATGTAAATATTTACTCCAAATATATATGGAGGAGTTTCTTTGATATGCAGAAGAATGATTGCTGTCCACACTTGTGTGTTGTGACTCTGTCCTAAGCAATAGGTTTGGATTCGTGTCCAGAGCCGCTGCCTCCCAGTAATGGCCGAAAAGTTGGAGATCGTTACACTGTGGGTGACATGGTTTCCTTCCAATGTGATCAAGGCTTTTCACTACAGGTAGGTGGAAATATGAAGTGCAGATCTGCAGCTCTCTTAGTGAAAAATATTGACTTGCCCAAATGAGTGACATTTTCATGGGGATTCTCTAAAGGATGAATGTTTTAAAACAGAGGAATCAAGTCCTTTTGATGAGTGTGTGTGTGTGTGTGTGTGTGTGTGTGTGTGTGTGTGTGTGTGTGTGTGTGTGTGTGTGTGGGTGGGTGGGTGTGCAGTTGGGTGCATGCACA